TGAGTGGGTTAAGTTAGACCTTAGAGACTTCAAAGGAACACAGATAGAACAGACACTACCTTCAGAGCGAGATAGAGAGAAGAGTGAGGAGGAGAGAGGGAAAGGGAGAGGGAGTGTGGAGGGTGAGGAAGGAAAGAGGGATGGAAGAATGACAGCAGGGAAAAAGGGAAAGAGAGAGAGGTATATAGAGGATTGGGTCGGGGAGACAGAGAAGGAAAAAGTGAAGGTTTCAACAATAATTATCATAAGTCCATAATATTCATGAGGTAATATCAAACAACTGGATTTTTTAACATGGAAATGGGATTGTTCCTTACTGATCACGAGAAGGCAAGCAAGTGAATACAGGCCTGTCCCCGTCATCGCCTTCATAGGTACCATCTGACAAAGACGAGATCTCATTCAATTTCTATTCATTCAAAAAGTTTATCAAAATAGAAATGGGTTCAAATGTAAATGAAACCCACAAACAATATTTCATTCAGGGAATTCTCAATAATGTCAAAAACCTAGAAACGTTACTAAAAAACAACAACATAAAATTATTTTACCTCTTGTGCTGGGTCTCTCTGGTTATGCACTGAGTTCCCTGGACGAGGAATGATTGAGCGTCTCTACTTTGCGTAATCTACAGAAAGGTAATGTACACTGGGGCTGATATAAACACTGATATCAATGCAAATCACCTCACCACCCACAGCTGACAGTAAAACAAGCAATAGACAGATAATACAGGAACATGTTTGTGCCCTGCTTGGCACCTGGAGTTTGTTGTTGATGGATGGGAGTGAGTGCTAAGACTGTCATTGGTGCTATTGGACTGTTTAACAGGATTCAGAACAGAACACAATTAGTAAGTAAGTAGCTATCCCGGAAGAGCAGATCTCCTGTTTTTGTAGCATGAGGGAGCTTGATGGACACCCTGGACAGGATTCTAGTCTATCACATGGCCTTACCCTCAATCTAGCTCCCTAATGCTGAGTGCCAAGCAGAGATGCATTGGGTCCCATTTTTACACTCTTTGGTATGATTCAGCAGGTGATCAAACTCCTAACCTCAGGGCGGACACTCTAACCACAAGGCCACTGAGTTGGTCAGAACAAAATGACAGCGGTCAAATGGTCAAACCTGGACTTGGCTATAATATTTCATATTTTGGCATCATGTCTGCCTCCAACACACACTATAACTCAATAAAGACTGTGATGTCAATGCACCTCTTATCAGAATTAGTTGCCGACATTATAGCTGAACCATGCAAATTGTGTGTTGACTTCCAAAGGATCAGGAGGCCTTTTTCACAGACAGCATATTTCAAACAAATTAGGAGCAGTACAGTACAGTACAATACAGTACACTGCATCATGGGATAGGAAGTTCATCTTTCCCCACTACCTGTCAGTCTGGCTCTGAAGCCATAGGGTCTGTTCTCTGGACGCTTCAGATTCACTTCCTCTGTGGCTACCAGAGAGTGCTGTTGATCAAACAAAGTTACACATCAAATCAAATCAAATCAAATTGTATTTGCCACATGCGCCGAATACAACAGGTGTAGACCTTACAGTGAAATGCTTACTTACAAACCCTTAACCAACAAGGCAGTTTTAAGAAAAATAAGTGTTAAGTAAAAAATAGATAAGTAAAAAAAAATAAAAAAAATAATTAAAGAGCAGCAGTAAAATAAAATAACAATATGAAGGCTATATACAGGGGGTACCGGTACAGAGTCAATGTGCGGTGTCACAGGTTAGTCAAGGTACTTTAGGTAATGTGTACATGTGGGTAGAGTTAAAGTGACTATGCATAGATAATAAACAGAGAGTAGCAGCAGCGTAAAAGAGGGGGTAAGGTGGGGGGACAATGCAAATAGTCTGGGTAGCCATGATTAGCTGTTCAGGAGTCTTATCGCTTGGGGGTAGAAGCTGTTAAGAAGCCTTTTGGACCTAGACTTGGCGGTCTGGTACCGCTTGCCATGCGGTAGCAGAGAGAACAGTCTATGACTAGGGTGGCTGGAATTTTTAGGGCCTTCCTCTGACACCACCTGGTATAGAGGTCCTGGATGGCAGGAAGCTTGGCCCCAGTGATGTACTGGGCCGTATGCACTACCCTCTGTAGTGCCTTGTGGTCGGAGGCCGAGCAGTTGCCATACCAGGCAGTGATGCAACCAGTCAGGATGCTCTCGGTGGTGCAGCTTTATAACTTTTTGAGGATCTGAGGACCCATGCCAATCTTTTCAGTCTCCTGAGGGGGAATAGGCTTTGTCGTGCCCTCTTCACAACTGTCTTGGTGTGTTTAGACCATGATAGTTTGTTGGTGATGAGAACGCCAAGGAACTTGAAGCTCTCAACCTGTTCCACTACAGCCCCGTCGATGAGAATGGGGGCGTGCTCAACCCTCTTTTTTTTCCTGTGGACTACAATCATCTCATTTGTCTTGATCATGTTGAGGGAGAGGTTGTTATCCTGGCACCACACAGCCAGGTCTCTGATCTCCTCCCTATAGGCTGTCTCATCATTGTCGGTGATCAGGCCTACCACTGTTATATCGTCGGCCATGCCGTCGTGGGGGAACAGGGAGTACAGGAGGGGACTGAGCATGCACACCTGAGGGGCCTCCGTGTTGATGATCAACGTGGCAGTTATGTTTTTTACCTACCCTTACCACCTGGGGGCGGCCCGTCAGGAAGTCCAGGATCCAGTTGCAGAGGGAGGTGTTTAGTCCCAGGGTCCTTAGCTTAGTGATGAGCTTTGAGGGCACTATGGTGTTGAACGCTGAGCTGTAGCCAATGAATAGCAATCTCACGCAGGTGGAAAAGGGTAGTGTGGAGTGCAATAGAGATTGCATCATCTGTGGATCTGTTGGGGCGGTATGCAAATTGGAGTGGGTCTAGGGTTTCTGGGACAATGGTGTTGATGTGAGCCATGACCAGCCTTTCAAAGCAGTTCATGGCTACAGATGTGAGTGCTACGGATCGGTAGTCATTTAGGCAGGTTATCTTAGTGTTCTTGGGCACAGGGACCATGGTGGTCTGCTTGAAACATGTTGGTATTACAGACTCAGTCAGGGACATGTTGAAAATGTCAGTGAAGACACTTGCAAGTTGGTCAGCGCATGCTCGGAGTACTCCGGCTGGCCCTGCAGCCTTGTGAATGTTGACCTGCTTAAAAGTCTTATTCACATCGGCTACGGTGAGCGTGATCACATAGTCATCCGGAACAGCTGATGCTCTCATGCATGGTTCAGTGTTGCTTGCCTCGAAGCGAGCATAGAAGTGATTTAGCTCGTCTGGTAGGCTCGTGTCACTGGGCAGCTCGCGGCTGTGCTTCCCTTTGTAGTCTGTAATAGTTTGCAAGCCCTGCCACATCCGACGAGCGTCAGAGCCGGTGTAGTACGATTCAATCTTAGTCCTGTATTGACTCTTTGCCTGTTTGATGGTTCGTCGGAGGGCATAGCGGGATTTCTTATAAGCGTCCTGGTTAGAGTCCCGCTCCTTGAAAGCGGCTGCTCTACCCTTTAGCTCAGTGCGGATGTTGCCTGTAATCCATGGCTTCTGGTTGGGGTATGTACGTACGGTCACTGTGGGGACGACGTCATTGATGCACTTATTGATGAAGCCAGTGACTGATGTGGTGTACTCCTCAATGCCATCGGAAGAATCCCAGAACATATTCCAGTCTGTGCTAGCAAAACAGTCCTGTAGCTTAGCATCTGCATCATCTGACCACTTCCTTATTAACCGAGTCACTGGTGCTTCCTGCTTTAGTTTTTGCTTATAAGCAGGAATCAGGAGGATAGAATTATGGTCAGATTTGCCAAATGGAGGGCGAGGGAGAGTTTTGTACGTGTCTCTGTGTGTGGAGTAAAGGTGGTCTAGAGTTTGTTTTCCTCTGGTTGCACATTTAACATGCTGGTAGAAATTAGGTAGAACGGATTTAACTTTCCCTGCATTAAAGTCTCCGGCCACTAGGAGTGCCACCTCTGGATGAGCGTTTTCCTTTTTGCTTATGGTCTTATACAGCTCATTGAGTGCAGTCTTAGTGCCAGCATCGGTTTGTGGTGGTAAATAGAAAGCTACAAAAAATATAGATGAAAAGTCTCTTGGTAAATTGTGTGGTCTACAGCTTATCATGAGATACTCTACCTCAAGCGAGCAAAACCTAGAGACTTCCTTAACATCTCTCTGTCTCTCTCTCTCTCTCTTTTACCATTTAGCTTCCAGTGATTTCCCGTCAATTATTCAGGCCTGCCTAACTGAGGATAAACTGTAATTTTTCTCATCCCAGAGAGCGCAAACAAATCAATTCCCATTAGTCTGGGCAGGAGAAGGAAAGATCCCCTGAGCCATATATTCCTGTGACAGCCTTTCTGCTCTCCTCTCCTCTGCTGAAGGAATGGCATTCTACTGGCCTGAGAGATTACAGCACTGTCCCCTAAAGCAGCAATGTGGAAGGGCCAAGTCCTGCCTCATTAAAAAAAATAGAGTATCTGTTCTGGAAACTTTGGTTTGTTACACGAAAAGCCACACTAGTATAAAAATGTCTACTGTAAGAGAGACAAGTGGCTTTTTCTTCGTTTTGATCACGTGCTGCACATGCCTATCAGGCCCACTTAATTGGATCTACTTAATTGGCTCTACTTAATTGGCTCTACTTGATTGGCTCTATTTGATGGGCTCTACTTGATTGGCCCTTAGATTTGATCCACAGGTGTTTCTAGTGCCCCGCCCCCAACTTCGACTTAGAGAGAGGCAAGAGTCAAGGTGAACTAAGTTGGGGGGACACAAATTGTAATTGCAGATAGATTATAGGCCTACGTCTGAATTATAAAATGTATTCTATGCTTGTGTTTCTAAATAGCATGTCTTCTTCAAATTCATTTTCTATATTTGCAGACTCTTCAAGCAGTAGTTTACCTTTTAACTGCTTCCTTATCAAACTCCTCTCTCACGTAGTGCTACGTAAAAACATTTAATTCAGTCCCAAAAGCTTTTCCCCCGGAGGATGGTGGCCTTCAGCGGGCTCTGCCGAAGTCTCTCTCGCCTGGTGAAGGGGACCGCTCAGTGCAAGTTTGGGAAGCTGAACACCTACAACAATACCCGTCCACCAATTCAAATAAAGGTATGCCTAAAAGTATCCAACAACTCGTTGACATTTTTGGAAAGAAATTAGACAATTTTCTTTCAGAAATGTCTTTGAGTAGCCTATTGAATGTTTAAAAGTATTTTGACTGGATGTGCCTTTATCCACTGGCAATCATAGTGTTGTCACCAGCCAGACCCATTTCTGATTGGGTGGGAAGCTGAGCCACAGCTCTTGTGGCTGGATCCACAACCTCTTCTCATAATGCACTGTTGGTGCTATATCAAGTAGCCATATTTGCTCAGCCGAGTTTTCACCTGCATCCTCTCAGGCCAAGTGTGTTTTTATCCCCATAAGCCTCATAGCCTACACTGCCTAGTCTGAAATACAGTAGGGCAGGGACACAAGCACACCACCCACATCAGAGAGTTTCTCAAGAGCCACGACGTGAGCAGTGTGATCACTGTAACCCCACTTCCCCTTTTGTGGCCCATTGCCACAGCAACACTTCCCTTTCAGACAGGAAATAACAGGGAGTCGTAAATGACGAGGACCGAAGTGTGTTTGTGTCAGTGCAGGGCGGATAATCCCCCCCCCCCCCCCCCCCCCCCGCCCCTCCAAGTGTGTGAGCATCATTTTGGATTACCACCGGTGCTTCAGCCATGTCTAAGAACATGAAGACTCTAGGTGTTCCTGGTGTTGGTCACAGGGTAAGTTGTCCGTTTCTGTAGACTTGGGTTGAATTCAGTGAGGTGCAACGTTACATACCGTTCAGATTGACATATATCATGTAGAACAGACATGCATCTCAGCTATGTAGAAGAGGGAATCAACTCAACAAAACTCATTTTTATCTGAAATGTTCAAAATGTTGAGCACTTCCAGATTGGTCTCCGCTGCCCTATCTGGAGCTGGCCTCAAGCCAAGGTTCCTTCTCTGGGTCACCTAAGGTTCTATTGGCAAAGCTCATGCCCCGCCTCCCAGAGGATCTATCTTTTTCAGCCATCCATTTCCTTTGTTTGAGGGGTGCAAAATCCACTTGACACTTAAATCTTGCATGATTGATTCCTTTTATTTTACTCCTGCAAGTCTTTCATACTCTTGCCTGATGATTTTTCCCTGAAATGTTTGTAATGACCTGTCGATGTTTGTAATGGCTGAAATGGGCTCAATGGGATGCATTGTCTTTCCGTTGAATCTATAAAAATGCTAAAGCTTTGTCTGGGATTTAATACATAGTTTAGACTCTTATATCACAAGAAAGATAACTTTATTTTGATGGGTGTTTAAAGTAATTGTATACAGTTTTTAAATGTTTACAAATTAGATATGTTGAAATGAAAGCAACTTCTGAAAATGAACAGTCCAGATTAGTGATATTATGTCTGCTCTCACAAACAATGTAAAGTATGTATAGAGGTGTAATCTAGAGCCAAGCTGTTTTTTAATCTGAGGGTATCCTGATATTGACACATTTGTTAAATTATGCAACAGAACCTGACAACAGTCATTCATGAGGAGGTCTAGACGGCGCAGGTGAGTGCAGGTAGGCCTAGACATAGCAAGTTTTTGGTGGTTTCAGCCATGTCCCTCCCCTTTATGTTAATGTCTTAATATATGCAAATACACCCGGTCAATACACCCGGTTTTTCAGTCAATAAAAGCATGGAGTATATTCATCCATTCTCCAACTGTTGAATGTATTAGTTTTTAAAAACCTTTTAATTGCTAGTTCCATAGGTAGAGGCTGAGGGAGGAGGAGGGGATTAGCACCAGCCTGTTGGTGATAAGGCCACATCCTGCTTTTGAAGGGTTTCCTGATATTGTGCTCAACTGTCAATGGAGAAAAGGGCTATGCTTTCAACAGCTGTTTTATTTTTTTTGCTAGTAACGCCGTGATCTTCAGTCCTTTCAGGTGAAGACTACACGATACGTTGTGGTTTTAGTAATGATGATAAAGCTGCTGTAAGTGGACTGCGGAGTGATACCAAAGCTGCTACAAGACAATGTTGGCTGTTACTGAAACACACCCAAGCCAGACATTTTTTACAGATTGCCCTCCACACCTGAGCAATATCACATCCGATCTCTATGGCATCGTGGTTGTGTCCCGGGTCCCCACCCATCCCTCTCTCTGCCTCTGTTGTGGTGCAATCCCTGATGACTGGGAGACTGAGTCACATAACACTGGGTGTTGGGTGGTGATGTTGGGGAAATAACACATGCCTCATATCCTCAGGAGGCTGTTGAGAAATCTTAATAGTGAGTCAGGGTGGATACAAGGAGCAACCTGTGGTGTGAGTGGAGTCCCCACTCTCAAAGAAATGCCTGCATATGGTGGTCTTGTGGAAGGATGTATCGTGTAATTTGCAGTGCAGTTGTCATCACGATTGTACACAACACAGTGAGTTCCAAGGATTTCAACATTCATCAGGGACCGTATTCATAAAGCGTCTCAGAGTACGAGTGCTCATCTAGGACTAGTTTTAACTTTTGGATCCTAATGAACAAGATGACATGGACAGAGGGGACCTGATCCCAGATCAACACTCCTACTCTAAGATGCTTTATGATTACGGCCCCAGAACCAGAACACTCCTAGTAGACTCATAGAGTTGTATAAAAAGTTTCCTCAGGTTGCTTTTGCATGAGCCTGTAGGATTTGCTTAGGTCCGTCTCGTGTGCTCTAAAATGTAGAATGTCTGTTCGTCTTTGTTTGCATTCAGTACAGCATGCACATTTCTGTCCCAACTTTACGTTTCCTTGTGAAAGAACATGAACCCCTCTCTCCACAGAGGTGAAGGCTAAGCTTCACTGGAGCTGAAAAAAATAAAACATTATTGTCCTGAAAGCTGAATGAGAAAGCAATACAGTGAGCTGTGTGAGCTGGGGACTTGCCTGCTTGAGTGCTCTAACGTAGAGGAGAGCTGTCAGTACAACAAAGTCATGCAGCCGTTCTTCTCCATTCTCACTTCCTGATGCTGCGTTAGTGTTTTTTTTATCCTTCATTCACTGCCTGAGATTTCTGTTTGCTTGTCAACGCCTGGTTGGGTGACTGTACGATTTTTCCTGTTTGAATGGTATTCTGGTCTGTAACGTTGGTCTGTACTTCTATTCCATGAAGTTGGTCTCCACTTGTACGTTACTGACTTTAGATTTTAATGTATTTTAATGTCTGTGGAACTGTGTTCTGTATCGATGGATCATGTGATATTCTATTTGACTGAGTCTGACACACATTCCCCTGACTTGTCTCTGCAGAGCCAGGCAGTGTCAGATGGAGGTAAGCCTGTGTGTGTGTGTGCCTGTCTGTCTCAGAAATGTTTCTCAAATATGAGCATGCCTGTACAGGCAGTAGTGCCAGTCTGCTACCCTGAGGCTTCAGGGTGTGGATGGTTTTATTAGTTAATGTGTGTGTGATTTCTCAGAGTTGAACATGTCTGGTCGTGGATGTGGGGGCAGTTGTAACAGTCTTCCAGGGGCCCAAGGGGGAGATGCTCAGGCCAGCAGTGTCGTCGGCTGGGCTGTGTGCTTCGAGAAGCTATTGGAAGACCCCATGGGAGTATGTTACTTCAAGGTGAGCCACAGAAGTCATTGCTTTTAATTGAGAACAGCGATTGCGTTGTCTCCACTCAGCAAACGTAGATATGTTTTTCTCAGAGTAAAGCCACGGGAGGAGTCATACAGCAGGGCTTTAATTTAAAAAAAATCATGCTACCAACTTAAAGTTAGGAGAAAAGCACCAGAAAATCAGATTTATTTAATTTTATTGAGCCTATATGAATTCTAGCTTATTTTGAAGAGCATGCTGTGCCCCAGAAACTATTAACCCTTAAAATACATTTTATTATAAAAAGCTAAAATGTTAGGCCTCCCGAGTGGCGCAACGGTCTAAGGCACTGCATCACAGTGCATGAGGCGTCACTACAGACCTGGGTTTGATCCCAGGCTGTATCACAACCGGCCGTGACCGGGAGTCCCATAGGGTGGCGCACAATTGGCCCAGCGGCGTCCGGGTAAGTGAGGGTTTGATCGCACTCTAGCGACTCCTTGTGGCGGGCCGGGCGCCTGCAGGCTGACACCGATCATCAGTTGAACAGTGTTTCCTCTGATACATTGGTGCAGCTGGCTTCCGGAATAAGCGGGCGGGTGTTAAGAAGAGCGGTTAGGCGGTTCATGTTTCGGAGGACGCATGACTCGACCTTCGCCTCTCCGGAGCCCGTTGGGGAGTTGCAGCGATGAGACGATTGCAATTGGATATCACAAAATTGAGGAGAAAAAAGGGCTACACTAAATGTTGAAACACCTGCTAGCTGAGATGTATTGCTCAGACTTTTTTTTAAACGCAAGCCTATGAAACAATAACCTATTAAACAGTTGTGTAATGAGGTTTGTGCAGTAGGCTATAGGCCCAATTCATTATCCCTGCATATTGGCTATGCTTGAATTGCCCTTCCAATGTTGTTCTTCCTGTAACTCGAGTCACACCGCATTGTTTCTACATCATGCACAAATTCACGTTGTTCCTTCCATAACCAGAGAAAGTTATATATTCCTTGATTATTAAAATAGACACAAATAATAATTTAACAGTGCAAGCCTTTCAATACACTTTGCTACTCATTCTTTGCAGCTGTAGTGCTGGTTGAAGCATGAAGGGAGAAGTGCATTTTATGGCTTCTAAGTGTTGAATTAAAGTGCTGACTGTGCTGAATTAAAAACGTAAACATTCGTTGGCAGTCTCTCTAGTCATGATTAAATTTTTTATCTCACAGTATCAATTTTTGTTGTGCGCTCGAGGAAGCTGCAGATGTGGTAATCTGAGCAATCTGATTGCCAGCTGTAGGCCTTGATTTACTCTCCGGGTCCTTGGGGTATGGCAGTGGTACAGCGACGCCTGATCATAATGTTATTTTATTTTTTGTCGCACTGGTGCTCGCAAAATAAAATTCCAGGTCTTACAGCTAAATATTTTGGAGCATACAAGCCCTGTTTATAGGTCAGATATAGTTAATAGGTAATCTGTTGATTAGGTCTAATGGGAGCTGTATGGTAGGTCAGGTAGGTCTGATGTGTGTTGTCATGCAGGCTTTCCTGAGGTCAGAGGTGAGTGCGGAGAACATACTGTTCTATCAGGCCTGCGAGAAGTTCCGGAAGATTCCACCCAGCCGGATGAAAGAGGTATGGGCTGATTCTTCGGTCTTTACTGAATGGTAATAGATGGAATAGATGTGTTGAAGTAGGGATTGAGGAAGGAGAGTTGAGTGTGTGGACCAGATTGTGGAGCTGGACTGATGTAATGGCCCTATTCCCTATATAGTGCACTACTTCTGATAGGGCCCTTGTCGAAAGTAGTGCACTAAATGGGGAATAGGGTGCCACTTAGGACTCATATTTTGTCTTATTCCCATAGTTGAGTGACGAGGCTCACGCCATCTTCCAGACGTACCTGTCTGACCACGCTCCCTACGCTGTGAACATCGACGACACAGCTCACGTGGAGGAGAAGGACCTGCTGAAGCCTACAGCTGAAATCTTTGACAAGGCACAGACACAGGTCAGCTCTGCTGCCACCTGCCTGTCACATACACACTTCCCACAGACCAGCTAGCTAGCGCATGTAATACGCTTGGAATTCAGTTCTGTTTGATGGAGATCGATTTAAAGCAAGAAAGTAGAGCAACTCAAACTCCTGACCAGCTCCAGTGTAATAGTGTGGTAAGTCCAGTGCCATTAACTGGTGTCTGTCTGTTTGTCCCTCCCTCCCTGGGTCAGATTTTTAAATTGATGAAGATGGACAGCTACAGGCGCTTCGTCCGCTCCCCTCTTTACCAGAAGTGTACCCTGGCCAGTGTGGAGGGCAGGCCACTACCCAGCATCCCCGCTGAACCTACCAGCACGGGATCATGGGAGAACATGGCCACCTTCAGCCGCTCCCTCAATGACAGCAAGGTGGGATGGATGGATGTGTAGGTGGATGGATGGACTTCAACAATGGCTATGAAAGCAATGTTTTGACCATAATTGAGGATTGTTTAAATGATTCCATTTGGATGTGTGTAATCCATTGCGTGGTTATTGAGTAATAGCTTGTAACCTGTGTTCAGCAGAAGAAGGATAAGCAGCGGGAGAAGAGGGGATCGTGGGGAGGTAGGCTTCCCCTCAGCCATAACCCTACAAAGCTCTTGTCTAACTCTATCCATGATATTCTCTAGTTATTTTTACCCTTGTCTGTTTCTCCCTCCTTTTCTCTCTCCTCCCCCGTCACTCTCTCCCCTCTCAGTAGGGGTGTCATACCCCAAGGTGAATGTATCTTGTAAGGAGTCTCGGATGTCCAACTGTAGTGCGGAGTTGGACTCCTACAGACAGATGGAGGTAAATTCACCATACTTGGTCAGCTGGGCTGTGGGAGGAGATTAGGTTAAAAATATAGATAACCATTAATTCCCAACTTCTCTCCCTTACTCATTCCCTCTCCTCCCCTCTCTCCTTCTGTTCCCCTATCTCCCTCAATCCCTCCTCTACTGCTCCCCTCTCTCCCTCACTTCCTCTCCTCTCTCCACTTGCTCCCCTCTCTCCCTCACTTCTTCTCCTCTCTCCACTTGCTCCCCTCTCTCCCTCACTTCCTCTCCTCTCTCCACTTGCTCCCCTCTCTCCCTCACCACCTCTCCTCTCTCCACCTGCTCCCGTCTCTCCCTGACTCCTCCTCTGGTCCAGAATGGTCGCTCCAGTCCCTCAGGCCAGGTGCTGGGTGGTGGTGGTAGTGTGGAGGGGGGTTACTGCTGTGTCTACCTGCCTGACGGTAGTGCATCCCTGGCCCCCACACGGCCCGGCCTCCCCCTCAGAGACATGCTGTCTGGCCTCTGTGAGAAGAGAGGCTTCCCCCTCAAAGACGTCCTCATCTACCTCCACGGAAAGGACCGGGTGAGCCAGAATGGGAATTGTCTTCCAAATGTTGTCAGCAATGCTCACTTCAACTGAAAATGTCCTTAATGACTGTTACCCATATGTCGTCCCTATAGAAGCCCCTATCTCTGGAGCAGGACTGCTCAGTACTGAGGGACCAGCAGGTCTCCCTGGAGCTGAGGGTGACGTTTACGTGAGTCATCTCTGACACTTCCTTTTCTGGCTTACTGACCCTCAGTGTTTCTGCTTGTGTGTGTACTGTACTGTGTTGACGTGTGTATGTGTTTCAGGTTGGAGGTGGTGTTCACTGGTAAGACAGTGGGCATCATGGTGAAGTCCAGTAAGACTCTGCAGGATGCCCTGTCAGCGGTACTACAGAAACACCAACTAGCATCACACCAGGCCCTGGTCACCATGGTGTGTGGACGTGTTTAACTAGACTTGTGGGGACCAGAAGTCCCCACAATAATAGTAAACAAACAAACATTTGACCAACTGGGGACATTTTGTTAGTCCCCACAAGGTCACATGCTATTTCTAGGGGGTTAAGGTTAGGGTTAGGAGCTAGGGTTAGTTTTAGATTCAGGGTTAGGAGCTAGGTTTAGGATTAGGCTATGGGTTAGGGAAAATAGGATTTTGTGTGTGTGTGAGAGAGAGAGAGAAAAAGTGTCTCTTGTATGAACATGTTCTGTTTTACAGAGTGGGAGTGATGTGCCACTGAGCATGAGCACCAGTGTGTTCAAACTGGCCAATAAGAAGCTGCAGCTGGACAAAGGTGAATACATACTGATTATCCCACACATGCTAACTGGTGCTTTGTCCCAGATGATAATAATGATGGACAGGACCGGGCATTGTTGTATCCTAACTGGTGTTCCAGACCTTTAAAACTCAGTGATCACGAACTCGCGCTCATTTATATATATCAATTAGGACATATAGCACTGCCCTTGCTTGCTCATTCGTTCTCTGGCTTTCCATTCCGCCTTCCTGTACACTTTCTTCTGCTCTCACCCTTGCGCTCCCTCTTTCGTTTAGACATCTTAGTACATTTGGCTTGTTGAGTGCTGTGTCACTGTGAGTTCACTCACATCCTCTCTACTGCTCTGGGACCAGAACTGCCTTCACTTTGGATAAGTGGTCACTCCCTGAGGCGTACTCATTACTGAGAGAGACTGGGGGTGGGGGACTTTTTGTTCTTGATTCTTCTGGGTAAAAGGGTCTTCTATGTGACTGTCAGAGTTTTGCCAGATATCAAACCCCATAATGTGTACAGTAGCCTATCTAGAACTTATTGTTGTTGTTGTCTTTACAGTTAGCAGTCCCAGGATCAGTGGCCAAACTCCAGTCACACAGGTGAGTCCTGCACTGTTGACGGCCAGGATGTTCGGGAGTCCAAAGCTTAACAAAGTAAAATGTGTGTGTTCTTTTCAGGAGAGAGGTAGATCTCCAGTTGGCCCAGAGGTCCATGTGTCTCCTCAGACAGACGGACCCAGAGCCAAGACCAGGGTCAGGAAAAACCATGAGATGGAGGGTATGAGTCAGAACCATGGGGTCATGGCTTATTTACTGGACCTGTCTAGGACTATACCCCATAGACTTCCTAGTAGCTGTAATAGGACTAAACCCCATAGACCTCCTAGTAGCCGTAATAGGACTAAACCCCATAGACCTCCTAGTAGCCGTAATAGGACTAAACCCCATAGACCTCCTAGTAGCTGTAATAGGACTAAACCCCATAGACCTCCTAGTAGCCGTAATAGGACTAAACCCCATAGACCTCCTAGTAGCCGTAATAGGACTAAACCCCATAGACCTCCTAGTAGCTGTAATAGGACTAAACCCCATAGACCTCCTAGTAGCTGTAATAGGACTAAACCCCATAGACCTCCTAGTAGCTGTAATAGGACTAAACCCCATAGACTTCCTAGTAGCTGTAACCTTAACCCTTTAGACTCACTTTAGCCCTAGTCTGAGACAAACTTAATGTATTTCTCCTTCTCTTTCTCCATTTCCTCCTCTCCCTCCTCTCTGTCTCTCTCTCAGCGATGATAGTGCTGTTGTCCAGAGCCCAGGCCTGTAGGGTGGATGACCAGAGAGGCCTGCTGACCAAGGAACACCTGGAGCTGCCCCAGTTCCTCCTGAAACCTGCTGTCCAGGAGACCCAACAGGGGGAGGCTGGAGAGGTTGCAGGGGGACAGGGGGATGGAGCCCCCACAGACACTGGAGTCAGATAACCATCCCACTACCTCCTCCATTCCCACCCCTGTTGGAGCAGCAGAGTCTGGAGTCGGTGTCAGACTCATCAGGTTCCAAACACATAGGCTCACAGGAAACATGTGTGAATGTGGGGGGTGTGTTGTCTAATTTTAACAAACGGTGTACAGGAAGACAACTAGTCTAGCACTTTTGCCTATGATTGTCTAAGCTCAGAGACATGGCTTATCACAGTCTCTGGTACGAAACATCAACTTTGGTACAAAATGTCATGAAATACAGAATCTGTTATAGGTTCCCATTCCTCCCCTGAATTCTGAATTTTGTTCTCTTTTGGAATGAAGGAATGACTTCTATATTTAAGTTGAACTAATAGTTTCCCTAATATGTAACTAAGCACTTTGAGTACATGTTCTTTATTATGTGTTTTTGATTTGAGATTTAACTAATGTGTTTATTTTTCTGTATTTTTAGCACTCCTCTCTTGTGAAAGTTTGATTTTATTTGTTGTCATTTAATACTTTTGAGCACATTTTTGTTTCTTTGCTGTGTTTGCACTTTGAATGCCAGGTGCTCTGTGGTGGTCAATCCTTTGAATGCCAGGTCCTCTGTGATCAAATCAAATCAAATTGTATTTGTCACAATGCAAAAAGTCTGGGTAGCCACTTGATTAGATGTTCAGGAGTCTTATGGCTTGGGGGTAGAAGCTGTTTCGAAGCCTCTTGGACCTAGACTTGGCGCTCCGGTACCGCTTGCCGTGCGGTAGCAGAGAGAACAGTATGACTAGTGTGGCTGGAGTCTTTGACAATATTTAGGGCCTTCCTCTGACAAAGGATTGACAAAGGATGGTAAATCCTTTGAATGCCAGGTGCTCTGCGATGGTCAAGCCTTCTCTCACTGTGTTATCAGTGCTTTTCAGGGTCAAACTTCAGTATTAACTTTCCATGCATTGCATATGAATAAATCAGGCGTTATTGATCTAATGTACCTCTAATGGACTGGTTACTTTCTCATGCCACTGGGGCTGCGCTGTGATTGGTTTGTCACCTGTCTAGGAGCCAATCGTGGCTTGGCTTCACCTCTATAAACTTGTTGCTTGAAGGTACCCCCCCGCCCCTCTCTGAAGACACTTCCCTCAGATGGGGGCAGGTATTGGGGGTAGCGTGTGTCTGGATGGGGGCAGGTATTGGGGGTAGCGTGTGTCTGGATGGGGGCAGGTATTGGGGGTAGCGTGTGTCTGGATGGGGGCAGGTATTGGGGGTAGCGTGTGTCTGGATGGGGGCAGGTATTGGGGGTAGCGTGTGTCTGGATGGGGGCAGGTATTGGGGGTAGTGTGTGTCTGGATGGGGGCAGGTATTGGGGGTAGTGTGTGTGTCTGGATGGGGCAGGTATTGGGGGTAGTGTGTGTGTCTGGATGGGGGCAGGTGTTGGGGGTAGTGTGTGTGAGAGAATCAGAGATAAAATGACAGTATTGTGGTGTGATCGTTCAGTAGACATCTCTGGCAAGGCGACATTACAATGTGAATCAGGCTATGGCTGGTTAGTTGCAAACCACTTGTATCATAACACTTTTTTACACTACTGAAATAGTTTTACAAGCATTTGCACACATTATTTATTACACATAATTCATTTTTGTGCAGTCAAAGCATGACAATCCTTTAGTACGAGAAATGTATGAGTTAATGGAGAAGTGTCTTTACCTTTATTTATATTACTTACACACTGATCAGAGGATGCACACCTGGTGTGGGTGTGTTTGTGTGGGTGTGTATGCATCCATACGTGCCTAGCGTGTCAGTGGAACGATGAATGGGCAGAGAGGGGTGTGACTGTCAGAGGAAGCAGTACACCAGTGAAATGAGAGCAGTATCTCCCCACCAGCACGTCTCCACTGAGAGGGCGAGAAAAGAGAAGGAATAAGGAGAGGTTCGTATCTTTTTTTTTCTTCTGGTGATTTCGGGATGTGTTCAGTCATCTGTGCTCTACGTGTACGCTTCTCTCTGTCTCTCTCTGTGTCTGTCTGTCTGTCTGTGTGTGTGTCTGTCTCATATTATATTATGCTTAGCTGTATTTGATGCTGTACGCTATCTAGACCATATTGCCTTGTAATATCCAGGTAGCGCCATAGAACCAGGCAGGTGACAAGGGAAGCTGTGTATCAGTATGCGCTTTGTCATTTGAAAACAATACTAACTGTAGTTAAAATGTGATCCATATTTGACCAAATGTACATTATCCCTGTCTATATGTATGTGTGTAGAATATCAATCAGGTTGCGTTGTGTGGCATATTTGTTCTACATCTTCTGAACTCGATCCTTTTGTTAATTAATGGATGCTGAGATACTCATTGTGCCAGCAGGCATTAGGCTATGCATTGGAATGCATGGCTTGTGTAAAACTAGACCCATCCATTAGACAGGAAGTGCTTGGTGAGTGAATGGCTATAGGCTCAACACAGCAACAGGAGTGTGCTTGGCCAGTGAGGGACGAAGTCGGTGTGTTCTGTATGGGAACACTGAAATGAGGGCGATGGTGGGGACTGTAAGGAACTGATTCAGGATCAGGTGAGATGTTTATGGCTGAGCCGTGACTCAATGCCAGGGAGAGTGAGGCAGCATTGATGACTGTTTCAGGATCAGTAGAGGGTAGAAAGAGTGGATATAACTGTGGTAAATCTGACAGCCAGTGATCATGTACTGTGTAGGACACATCAGTGGGGTGGTTATGTGATTCCCTATGCCTGTCTCGTGTTCACCTGTGTATCTTGTGACTTCATCTATGTGTCTGTGTTCATTATATAGGCTGTAATTGTGAATAATCTCCGATTCCCTCCTCTCTGATGGAATTGTCACCAGCACAGATGCTAGCTAGGCGGCTAGGATACACTCCGCCCTCCACGTTCCTGCCTGTCAGTTTATTTATAGGGTATGAATTGACCATGAAATTGGGGAACCACCTAATAGGTGTTTGGAATCACCTGAGTGACAGTCAGACAGAACTGTGGGGTTTTCTACCCACTCTAATACTCTTCTGCTGTAGCTAAATGGCACCCCATAGGAGGTTGTCTCAAGTGATAATGTCCCTCTGAAAGGTACTCGTTTGGGAGGAGGGGTGTTAAGTGTTATTTCTCTTCTTGTAAGGGTGTGTGGTTGACTGAAGAGTTTGAAAAGACCATATGATTAGTAGTTGTGGGATTAATTTAACCCAGTGCACTCATAGTACTATCATGTCGTGTCTGTAAGAGTGGACGGCAGATGAATGATGTCATCAGGTGGTGACTGCATACTGTAGATTTGACCATGCAGTGCCTATAACTGTTGCGTTTAAATGGCAAATGTGCCTACTGTGGTCTTGGCACGTACACTTGAGCCAACAGCTCACAGTGTGGGTAGGCGCTGCATGGACAATCCAACATCTCTATTTATGGTGATACGGCCTCTGCAGAAGTCAGGGCATTCATACTACTTGCGCTTCGCGGAGCAGCGCAGAGCTGTTGTGAAGAGGGTAGAATGCACTACGTCGTCACACACTGATACATTTTGGTAGAAACACACCACCGGTCAGCCTGGTCTCAGACTAAACTTAACATAGGAAACGTAAATCCGAGACACTCAAATTAGTATGATATGATACATTTTGTATGGTTACAAAAAAACAGAAGGTTACTTAAGGCAAAAACGGACGTAGGGTGGTTGGTCGGGTTTATAACACGTGTTCTAATCTCATGGACATTTTTAGCTAATTAGCAACTTTGCAACTATTTAGCATGTTAGCTAACCCTAACCTCAACCCCTAACCTCTAGCCTAGCTAATGTTATCCACCTAGCTAATGTTAGCATTAGCCACCTAGCTAACGTTAGAATTTGTAACATATCATACGAAATGGGTGATGGACATCCACAAATTAATACATACCATACAAAACGTGACATATAATACTAATTGGAGTGGAAATGGAGTTACATCTACCCCTGAGTCCAGGTTGCACCGGTGGGAAAATGCAGCATATTTTATTTTTATGCAGATTTTAGAATATTTGCATGAAAATCTGTCGCCAATTGGATGGAAACCTAGCTACCCTTTTTCTTCCTGTCTCATCATTATGATGGAGGGATGAAACGGCGATGGGGGGAAAAAGAGACTTGAGTTGCAGCCAGGATGATTTTTGCCTACCCTTGCAGAAGTCGGTGTAAGGGGACATTCCTCTTGCTGTGTTTGTGTGTGTGTGCCCATGATGCTGTGTGGATAGCACACACATCTAAGCATCCTATTTGGATCTGTCACCTTGGCTGTCATTGAGTCAGTCATGTGGACTAATTGATGGGCAGTGTTTTCTGAGCCACAGGGTGTTCCACTGGGGCAACTTCATTCTACAGGCCCTGGTTTAAAATAGCACTTCAACAACACAAGGGATTCTACTCAGAGAGAGAGAGGCCCTGTAATGGAGGGATGAGGAGGAAGGAGTCCAGTCAGTCAGGCCTGAAATCAACATCTAGATCATTTCCCTCAGACTGACAGACTACCACAGAACGCTCCATCCTCCTGCTGAGGGAGAGATGCTCATGCCAAGAACATTGTGTTGCAATACAATGTTGCAATGTAATGTACTTTACATTCAATACAATGTTGCAATATGATGTACTATACATTCAATACAATGTTGCAATATGATGTACTAAACATTCAGTGTATGATGTTGCTGTACATTGCTCCTCTATGAGTAATGAGGCATCAGCTGTAGTGTAGATAAAAACAAATTGTGTGTGGGAAATGTGTCCCCTGTCTTTGTAAGGGTATAACAACAGTTCAAGCTGGTGTTGGGAGTCAGCTCTTTTTGAAAAAAGTGTTAATCTATCGCTGGGCTAGGGCTGCTGTTTTAGACCAGATTAATAGTTCGATGGTTCATGGAAATGGAGCGGTTCCTGTGGTGATTATCTGGCTGCTTGACGTCATGGTAATAAGGAGTCAATCTAACACCTCTCATCCATAGTTAATGAGTCTGGGGTGGAGATGGTTGGAGACAGGGCTGAACCCTACAGGGAGCAGGAAGTTAGGGATTATAAACCCTCGTCATACACAGGGTACCTTCACCTACGCAGTCTCAAGCATGTGTCACTAACACAGCAATATGATAGAAATACACACCATTCAAAGGAATAGATTCTGAACATGTAATGCTCTCCCTTGGTCAGTGTCACCACCTGGTGGACTTTGACATATATACACTATGAACTAACTCGCTAATCCTATTTTATCCTCCTCAGATTGGCCACAGGAGTTAAATCATTTGTGTACAGCCAACCCTAGCCTTGTTATCATTGTGAACCTAACTGTGGACAGCCCAACCATGGAGCAGAAGATCAATGAAGTGAGTACCTGCTGTATCATCCTAACTCCCGGCGGCACAACTGCAGTACAGCCACCTAAATCCTGTTTCCTTCAGCACTTGGCTGTACTGTTGCCTCCAGGCTTTATTCTCTGGTGGGATTCTGATTGAGCCACTCTCCCTGTGTTTTATGTTCTGTCTATCCAGTGCCCCACCACCACGTCCCCCCAGAAACAATTGAAGAACCGGTCCAAATCCAGTGACACGATCCAGCCCACCAAGAGGGTGAGCAGCCTCCCCTTGC